CACAGGGGGCAATCATGGGTGGACAGAAAAGGGTCATCACCAAACTGGTCATCCATGTCTTTATGAAGCTGGCTTTGTACACAGGGGACAGTCATGGGGGACAGAAAAGGGTCTTCACCAAACTGGTCATCCATGTCTTTATGGAGCTGGCTTTGTACACAGGGGGCAATCATGGGTGGACAGAAAAGGGTCTTCACCAAACTGGTCATCCATGTCTTTATGGAGCTGGCTTTGTACACAGGGGGCAATCATGGGGGGACAGAAAAGGGTCTTCACCAAACTGTTACCACAAGGTTGGAAGAGCACAATTGTCTCCAATGTCTTTGTATGATGGAGGATTACCGGGACCCCTCACTGGAATCATCAGACCTCCATCATCTGTAGGGGGTTCACATACACTGGGCCATATTATCTGGTTGGAGTTGGATGACCCCATTCCCAATAATGATAGAATTTTTTTACTTATGAGCCACCAAGGGCAAGACTGATGTTGGATGAGAAGACCCAGATCATAATCGGTGTTCAGTAGGTTGAGGTCAGGGCTCTGTACAGGACACTTGAGTTCCTCCACATCAAACTGGTCATCCATGTCTGTATGGAGCTGACGTACACAGGGGGCAGTCATGGGGGAATAGAAAAGGGTCTTCACCAAACTGTTACCACAAAGCTGGAAGAGCACAATTGTCCACAATGTCTTTGTATGATGAACAATTACTAGGACCATTCACAGGGAGACACCTGAATGCAATGATCCACATAGGTTGGGCCATATGTTGTATTTGTTTTAGGAGCCTTTTTTGGACTCAGAGATGTGTGCTTTACATGAAAAGTTACCATTAATGGTAGAGGTTTTTTTGTTCTGAGCCTGCAAAGACAATTCTGATGTTGGATGAGAAGACCCGGTTTGTCATCAGCATTCCAGTTCATCCCAAAGATGTTCAGTAGGGTTGAGGGCAGGGATCTTGCATTCCTCCACTCTTCTAGGAAACCTTTGCACAAGATTGTGGAGCATTTCTATGGGGATTTGTGCTCATTTTTAGAGATCAGGCATTCAGTTGGGTTGACGTTGGGGCTCTGTACAAGACACTGGAGTTTCTCCACACCAAACCGGTCATTCATGTCTTTATGGAGCTGGCTTTGTACACAGGACAGTCATGGGGGACAGTCATGGGGGGACAGAAAAGGGTCTTCACCAAACTGTTACCACGTGGCTGGAAGAGTACAATTGGCTCCAATGTCTTTATATGAAGAAGGATTACCAGGATTCTTCACTGGAATCATCAGACCTCCATCATCTGTAGGGGGTTCACATACACTGGGCCATATTATCTGGTTGGAGTTGGATGACCCCCCATTCCCAATAATGATAGAATTATTTACTCATGAGTTACCAAGGGCAAGACTGATGTTGGATGAGAAGACCCAGATCATAATCGGTGTTCAGTAGGGTTGAGGTCGGGGCTCCATACAGGACACTGGAGTGCCTCCACATCAAAGTGGTAATCCATGTCTTCACGGAGCTGGCTTTGTACACAGGGGACAGTCATGGGGAACAGAAAAGGGTCTTCACCAAACTGTTACCACATGGTGGGAAGAGTACAATTGTCTCCAATGTATGATTGTATATGGAGGATTACCAGAACCCTTCACCGGAGACACTTGAACTTAATAATCTGGAAGAGTGTCAACATCCTTTGGGCCATATAGTGTATTCGTTTTGGGGGGGATGATCCTGTTACCATTATTGGTAGAGTTCTTTAATTGTGAACCTCCAAAGACATGACTGATGTTGGACAAGAAGATCTGGTTCACCATCGGCGTTCCAATTCATCCCAAAGGCGTTCATTAGGGTTAATGTTAGGGCTCTTGAGTTCCTCCGCTCTTCTGACAAGACTTCATACAAGATTTTGGAGGGTGACTGGGGGAATTTTTGCCCATTTATGAGGTCAGATACTGATGCCGAATGAGAAGACCTGGCTCACCATTGGTGTTCCTATTCATCCTAAAGATGTTCAGTAGGGTGGAGGTCATGGCTCTGTACAGGACACCCACTTTTTACACAGGGGACAGTCATGGGGGGACAGAAAAGGGTCTTCACCAAACTGTGACCACAAGGCTGGAAGAGCACAATTGTCTCCAATGTCTTTGTATGATGGAGGATTACCGGGACCCTTCACTGGGGACCCCTGAACCCCCTGTCATTGGGGGGGAAGGGGCTGGGGGGTTCACATACCCTTGGCCACATTTAGTGTATATGCATACAGTATAATGTAATTAGTTGCAGGAGATTGCACAAAGGTGTACGCTGGGCGATAATTACTGCAACGAAAATGGAGGTTTTCCCTTCGCAACCAGATTGGATGCTTTTGAGCAACAAATGAATATTTTCATTTCTCGGACATTTGTAAATTGTTGTACAATAAAGATTTATGAAGGGTCCTTGCTTTGTTCTGCCATTAATCTGGGAACAATGCTGGCCAGACACAAGAAACACTTTCTGCTTCAATACTTATCGCATCACTGACCCAGAGCAAGCAATGCAAATCAGGAGTCCTGAGTTTGCTGGAACTTCCCTTGGTGCATGCTTGTCCTGGATCGGTGACTGGAAATATTGAAGCCAGAGACAGCCAGGTAACCAGCATTTTCAGAAGGGCAACAGTGCAGCCTCCATGTTTCTCTGAGTACAGGTGAGCTTTAAAGCTGAACGTATCTGCTGATTGGTTTCCCCATGAAAGCGGAGTTACCCTTTAAGGAAATTCTGCTACAAGTGATTTGGTTGCACACAGTCCACGTTCTCGTACAGCTCGCCCTGTCAGTGTGACCACAGGAACTAAACATAGAATCTGTGAAGGAGGCTTTCCGCCCATCGAGATGTTCTGCAAACATGAAAGTGACAGCAAATGTTTCCTATGTGTGATCTCCGAGCAAACAGAGAATCCCGATCATATCACCCGAGGGGATCGGCATCACCAGAAATAATGGATTGTATCTGCCGACAGTTTATGCAGCGCTGACAGCGGGACATCGAATAATAAAAGAAATACTTCGATTGGACAGAAGGAACTAACGTCAAAGTAAACCTGGAGCTCAGCTTTAAATGGTGTCTGTTCATGTATGACAGGGGTCTCCAAACTTTCAAAACAAAAGGGCCAGTTTACTGTTTTGCAGACCTAAAGGGGCCGGACTGTGGTCAGTGGGAGTAAGTGATGCCCCATCATTGGTGTCAGTGGGAGGAATAGTGCCCCATCATTGGTGTCAGTGGGAGGAATAGTGACCCATCATTGGTGTCAGTGGGAGGAATAGTGCCTCATCATTGGTGTCAGTGGGAGGAATAGTGCCTCATCATTGGTGTCAGTGGGAGGAATAGTGCCCCATCATTGGTGTCAGTGGGAGGAATAGCGCCCCGTCATTGGTGTCAGTGGGAGGAATAGTGCCCCGTCATTGGTGTCAGTGGGAGGAATAGTGACCCATCATTGGTGTCAGTGGGAGGAATAGTGCCTCATCATTGGTGTCAGTGGGAGGAATAGTGCCCCATCATTGGTGTCAGTGGGAGGAATAGTGTCCCATCATTGGTGTCAGTGGGAGGAATAGTGCCTCATCATTGGTGTATGTCAGTGGGAGGAATAGTGCCCCATCATTGGTGTCAGTGGGAGGAATAGTGCCTCATCATTGGTGTCAGTAGGAGGAATAGTGCCCCATCATTGGTGTCAGTGGGAGGAATAGTGCCTCATCAGTGGTATCAGTGGGAGGAATAGTGTCCCATCATTGGTATCAGTGGGAGGAATAGTGTCCCATCATTGGTGTCAGTGGGAGGAATAGTGCCCCATCATTGGTGTCAGTGGGGAGTAAGTGATGCCCCATCATTGGTGTCAGTGGGAGGAATAGTGACCCATCATTGGTGTCAGTGGGAGGAATAGTGCCCCATCATTGGTGTCAATGGGAGGAATAGTGCCCCATCATTGGTGTCAGTGGGAGGAATAGTGTCCCATCATTGGTGTCAGTGGGAGGAATAGCGCCCCATCATTGGTGTCAGTGGGAGGAATAGCGCCCCATCATTGGTGTCAGTGGGAGGAATAGTGCCCCATCATTAGTGTCAGTGGGAGGAATAGTGCCCCATCATTAGTGTCAGTGGGAGGAATAGTGCTCCATCGTTGGTGTCATTGGGAGAAATAGTGCCCCATCATTGGGCATTGCTTGTGTCCACTGACCACAGTCTGGCCCACTCCAAAGCCTGAAGGATATTACACTGGCCCTTTGCTAAGAAAGTTTGGAGACCTCGGTTCTAAAGCAAGGAAGGGTCAGGTTTGCAGAATCACAAATTTGCTCATAATACGGACTGAAGAGATACCTGGAGTTTTCTCTATAGCCTGGCTCCATTTTCCATCCAAAATGGAAATGACTATTGGCCGGGGGAGGGGGGTTAGAAATTAAAAAATCTGCTCTCACTGTAATACCGTCTCCTCACACTCCTTCCTGGCAGACTCACCACTCCGCCCAGTACTGCCGGTCCTCTTCCAGCCTGAATGACACCCAGCATTATTCAAACAATTTCCTGTTCTAAAACTTGGGGTGTCATGGACACACCCCCTGGGGTACCTCATCAAGCTGCCCTGTGCTCTCCGGAGAAAGCTGCAGACATAACAAGGCACTGTTCCCTCGCCTTTTGTGATCACCCACTGAAGAGGAACCAGAGCATCACAGGACAACCAAAAATGGTACAAAAAGCAATGGGGGGGCGGGTGTACAAGGCAGGAAGTGGTGGTCAGAGTTGGTAATCAGAGTTGGTGGTCAGAGTTGGAGGTCAGAGTTGGTAATCAGAGTTGGTAGTCAGAGTTGGTGGTCAGAGTTGGAGGTCAGAGTTGGTAATCAGAGTTGGTGGTCAGAGTTGGAGGTCAGAGTTGGTAATCAAAGTTGGTAGTCAGAGTTGGTGGGCAGAGTTGGTGGTCAGAGTTGATGATCAGAGTTGGTGGTCAGAGTTGATGATCAGAGTTGGTGGTCAGAGTTGGTGGTCAGAGTTGATGATCAGAGTTGGTGATCAGAGTTGGTGGTCAGAGTTGGTGGTCAGAGTTGGTGGTCAGAGTTGATGATCAGAGTTGGTGATCAGAGTGGGTGGTCAGAGTTGGTGGTCAGAGTTGGTGGTCAGAGTTGATGATCAGAGTTGGTGATCAGAGTTGGTGGTCAGAGTTGGTGGTCAGAGTTGATGATCAGAGTTGGTGATCAGAGTTGGTGGTCAGAGTTGATGATCAGAGTTGGTGGTCAGAGTTGGTGGTCAGAGTTGATGATCAGAGTTGGTGATCAGAGTTGGTGGTCAGAGTTGATGATCAGAGTTGGTGGTCAGAGTTGGTGGTCAGAGTTGATGATCAGAGTTGGTGGTCAGAGTTGATGATCAGAGTTGGTGATCAGAGTTGGTGGTCAGAGTTGGTGGTCAGAGTTGATGATCAGAGTTGGTGATCAGAATTGGTGGTCAGAGTTGATGATCAGAGTTGGTGGTCAGAGTTGGTGGTCAGAGTTGATGATCAGAGTTGGTGATCAGAGTTGGTGGTCAGAGTTGATGATCAGAGTTGATGATCAGAGTTGGTGGTCAGAGTTGATGATCAGAGTTGGTGGTCAGAGTTGATGATCAGAGTTGGTGATCAGAGTTGGTGGTCAGAGTTGGTGGTCAGAGTTGATGATCAGAGTTGGTGATCAGAGTGGGTGGTCAGAGTTGGTGGTCAGAGTTGGTGGTCAGAGTTGATGATCAGAGTTGGTGATCAGAGTTGGTGGTCAGAGTTGGTGATCAGAGTTGGTGATCAGAGTTGGTGGTCAGAGTTGATGATCAGAGTTGGTGGTCAGAGTTGGTGGTCAGAGTTGATGATCAGAGTTGGTGATCAGAGTTGGTGGTCAGAGTTGGTGGTCAGAGTTGGTGGTCAGAGTTGGTGATCAGAGTTGGTGATCAGAGTTGGTGATCAGAGTTGGTGGTCAGAGTTGGTGGTCAGAGTTGGTGATCAGAGTTGGTGATCAGAGTTGGTGGTCAGAGTTGGTGGTCAGAGTTGGTGGTCAGAGTTGATGATCAGAGTTGGTGATCAGAGTTGGTGATCAGAGTTGGTGGTCAGAGTTGGTGGTCAGAGTTGATGATCAGAGTTGGTGATCAGAGTTGGTGGTCAGAGTTGATGATCAGAGTTTGTGGTCGAATAGCAATAACATCCAGACGAAGGGTCTAAACTTTCCATTCTATAGTAGAAAACGTATTGCAGCCCATGTTTGGTCTGTGAGGATCATCCCTTCAAGATCTCCTCTGCTGGACTCTCATGAAATCTCACAACCTCTTCTTTATGACACATGGAACATAGACAGGGGTAGGGGAGTCATGTCCAGCCAGTGATCAAGATGGCCACAATCTAACCTGGTTCCATATAACCAGAGCAATGCATCCCAGCAACTCCAGGGCCTCTCCCTCCACTCATCCACCCCCATCGATATGCAAAACTTCCCACTTACTACACCAATGCAGGATATCTCAACACCCATAAAATCCTTGGAATATGGCATCCCCATCTCTATGTGACAGCGTGGACTCCCCGACCCCAGCATGATCCTTCAGCACTACATGCACCGTATTATCCTTCCTCTGAGGAACACCATCAATACATGCAAAGAGCACATGTTCCGCAACACCATCAATACATGCAAAGAGCACATGTTCCGCAACACCATCGATACATGCAAAGAGCACATGTTCCGCAACACCATCGATACATGCAAAGAGCACATGTTCCGCAACACCATCGATACATGCAAAGAGCACATGTTCCGCAACACCATCGATACATGCAAAGAGCACATGTTCCGCAACACCATCGATACATGCAAAGAGCACATGTTCCGCAACACCATCGATACATGCAAAGAGCACATGTTCCGCAACACCATCGATACATGCAAAGAGCACATGTTCCGCAACACCATCGATACATGCAAAGAGCACATGTTCCGCAACACCATCAATACATGCAAAGAGCACATGTTCCGCAACACCATCAATACATGCAAAGAGCACATGTTCCGCAACACCATCAATACATGCAAAGAGCACATGTTCCGCAACACCATCAATACATGCAAAGAGCACATGTTCCGCAACACCATCAATACATGCAAAGAGCACATGTTCCGCAACACCGGCTTGTCCCACCAACCCACAAGCTGGGCGCATTGTCCTTCCACTGAACTCCCTCCCCCCTAAAAGCAAGGGAGTGACCTTATGATAGAACACCTCGGGAGACAAGCTTCTGGTATCGAATGGCAAGCCTAGCCTATCACACGAGGCTACCCAATGGGTGTAGTTTATGGATAATACCTTAACCCTTACAGATTATCCAACCTTTCCACCTCTATGTTGGACCTTCAGCTCAGTTGGCTCTATAACGCACATGGTGGCACTGCCGACCCCTGAGATCTTCCCGGAATTCAGACTTTTCTCAGGCATAATATCCACAAAAAATGTTATCCCACGTTTTGTCATCTTTCACTTTTGTATGTGTTTTTTTTCTCACTAGGATGGAGATCATATCCCCCCCTTATGTATTATACATGGTGATCATATCCCCCCTTATGTATTATACATGGAGATCATATCCCCCCTTATGTATTATACATGGAGATCATATCCCCCCCTTATGTATTATACATGGAGATCATATCCCCCCCTTATGTATTATACATGGAGATCATATCCCCCCCTTATGTAATATACATGGAGATCATATCCCCCCTTATGTATTATACATGGAGATCATATCCCCCCTTATGTATTTATACATGGAGATCATATCCCCCCTTATGTATTATACATGGAGATCATATCCCCCTTATGTATTATACATGGAGATCATATCCCCCCTTATGTATTATACATGGAGATCATATCCCCCCTTATGTATTATACATGGAGATCATATCCCCCCTTATGTATTATACATGGAGATCATATCCCCCCTTATGTATTATACATGGAGATCATATCCCCCCCTTATGTATTATACATGGAGATCATATCCCCCCTTATGTATTATACATGGAGATCATATCCCCCCTTATGTATTATACATGGAGATCATATCCCCCTTATGTATTATACATGGAGATCATATCCCCCCCTTATGTATTATACATGGAGATTATATCCCCCCTTATGTAATATACATGGAGATCATATCCCCCCCTTATGTAATATACATGGAGATCATACCCCCCCTTTATGTATTATACATGGAGATCATATCCCCCCTTATGTATTATACATGGAGATCATATCCCCCCTTATGTATTATACATGGAGATCATATCCCCCCTTATGTATTATACATGGAGATCATATCCCCCCTTATGTATTATACATGGAGATCATATCCCCCCCTTATGTATTATACATGGAGATCATATCCCCCTTATGTATTATACATGGAGATCATATCCCCCCCTTATGTATTATACATGGAGATCATATCCCCCCCTTATGTATTATACATGGAGATCATATCCCCCCTTATGTATTATACATGGAGATCATATCCCCCCCTTATGTATTATACATGGAGATCATATCCCCCTTATGTATTATACATGGAGATCATATCCCCCCCTTATGTATTATACATGGTGATCATATCCCCCTTATGTATTATACATGGAGATAATATCCCCCCTTATGTATTATACATGGTGATCATATCCCCCCTTATGTATTATACATGGAGATCATATCCCCCCTTATGTATTATACATGGAGATCATATCCCCCTTATGTATTATACATGGAGATCATATCCCCCTTATGTATTATACATGGAGATCATATCCCCCCTTATGTATTATACATGGAGATCATATCCCCCCCCTTATGTATTATACATGGAGATCATATCCCCCCTTATGTATTATACATGGAGATCATATCCCCCCCTTATGTATTATACATGGAGATCATATCCCCCCCTTATGTATTATACATGGTGATCATATCCCCCCTTATGTATTATACATGGTGATCATATCCCCCCTTATGTATTATACATGGAGATCATATCCCCCTTATGTATTATACATGGAGATCATAGATCCCCCCCTTATGTATTATACATGGAGATCATATCCCCCCCCTTATGTATTATACATGGTGATCATATCCCCCCCTTATGTATTATACATGGAGATCATATCCCCCTTATGTATTATACATGGAGATCATATCCCCCTTATGTATTATACATGGAGATCATATCCCCCCCCCCTTATGTATTATACATGGAGATCATATCCCCCCCCTTATGTATTATACATGGAGATCATATCCCCCCTTATGTATTATACATGGAGATCATATAGTGAATGAATGCGGGGTCCGGGGAGAGCGGATATAGCGAATGCGGGGTCCGGGGAGAGCGGATACAGTGAATGCGGGGTCCGGGGAGAGCGGATACAGTGAATGGGTCGGGGAGAGCGTATCCGGGGAGAGCGGATACAGTGAATGCGGGGTCCGGGGAGAGCGGATATAGGGAATGCGGGGTCCGGGGAGAGTGGATATAGTGGAATGCGGGGTCCGGGGAGAGCGGATATAGTGGATGCGGGGTCCGGGAGAGAGCGGATATAGTGAATGCGGGGTCCGGGGACAGCGGATATAGTGAATGGTCCGGGGAGAGCGATATAGTGAATGTGGGTCCGGGGAGAGCGGATACAGTGAATGCGGGTCCGGGAGAGCGGATATAGTGAATGCGGGGTCCGGGGAGAGCGATAGTAATGCGGGGTCCGTGAATAGTGAATGCGGGGTCCGGGGGAGAGCGGATATAGTGAATGCGGGGTCCGGAGAGCGGATACAGTGAATGCGGGGTCCGGGGAGAGATATAGAGCGGAGAGAGCGGATAGTGAATGCGGGGTCCGGGGAGAGCGGATATAGTGAATGCGGGGTCCGGGGAGAGCGGATATATAGTGAATGCGGGGATCCGGGGAGAGCGGATATAGTGAATGCGGGGTCCGGGAGAGCGGATATAGTGAATGCGGGGTCCGGGGGAGAGCGGATATAGTGAATGCGGGGTCCGGGAGAGAGCGGATATAGTGAATGCGGGGTCCGGGGAGAGCGGATATACTGAATGCGGGTCCGGGGAGAGCGGATATAGTGAATGCGGGGTCTGGGGAGAGCGGATGTAGTGATAGGAGAGAGGGGATATAGAATGCGGGGTCCGGGGAGAGAGGATATAGTGAATGCGGGGTCGGGGGAGAGCGGATATAGTGAATGCGGGGTCCGGTAGAGAGCGGATATAGTGAATGCGGGGTCCGGTAGAGAGCGGATATAGTGAATGCGGGGTCCGGGGAGAGCGGATACAGTGAATGTGAATGAGGGGTCCGGGGAGAGCGGATGTAGTGAATGCGGGGTCCGGGGAGAGCGGATATAGGGAATGCGGGGTCCGGGGAGAGCGGATGTAGTGAATGTGGGGTCCGGGGAGAGCGGATATAGTGAATGCGGGGTCCGGGGAGAGCGGATATAGTGAATGCGGGGTCCGGGAGAGCGGATATAGTGAATGCGGGGTCCGGGGAGAGCGGATACAGTGAATGCGGGGTCCGGGGAGAGCGGATATAGGGAATGTGGGGTCCGGGGAGAGCGGATGTAGTGAATGCGGGGTCCGGGGAGAGCGGATACAGTGAATGCGGGGTCCGGGGCGGAGAGCGGATACAGTGAATGCGGGGTCCGGGGAGAGCGGATACAGTGAATGCGGGGTCCGGGAGAGCGGATACAGTGAATGCGGGGAGAGCGGATACGGGGAGAGCGGATATATAGTGAATGCGGGGTCCGGGGAGAGCGGATATAGTGAATGCGGGGTCCGGGGAGAGCGGATATAGTGAATTCGGGGTCCGGGGAGAGCGGATACAGTGAATGCGGGGTCCGGGGAGAGCAGATATAAAGAATGCTGGGTCCGGGGAGAGCGGATATAGTGAATGCGGGGTCCGGGAGAGCGGATATAGTGAATGCGGGGTCCGGGTTTAGGAACACTAAGGATTAGTAGAAGGAATTCGTCTTTTTCTTGTGGTCGATGACTTTGCGTAACCCCTGGAAAGGCCTTTGACGTAAACCTCCCAGTTCCTCATTGTGTAATCCGGAGTCCTCCATGGGGGGGGGGGGAAGTCCCGGCACAGACAGACCCTTTCAGTCCCTCCATGATGAGTCCGCACATCGCCCTGAATCACTCCCATGATTTGATCCCACGTAGGGATCATAGGGCTCTGCTTATGACAACTGGGGAATTTCGATGCACAAATTAGAAATGGGTCATCACTAAGCTGTATACATTCATGGAAAGTGGAACTTTAGTGCCAAAACTTTTGTTGCCAAATATAACCAACAAATACAAATACCAGATAAGATCCATTGTTCAGCTATGAAGACTGCTGGACCCCGACGCCCCCCCCCCCCCCCCCCCCTAGATTACTTACTGCCCCCGCCTCACATGTGTAGTATAAGCCCCATGAAAAGTGCAATTCTCGTGTGCCATTAAGTGGTTACCCTTCCCCCGCAGTGCCCAGATAGGGTATTGCCCCACAAAAAGTCAGGGACAAGATGGTAGACCTACACAAGGCTGGACTGGGCTACCAAACTATGGCCAAGCAGCTTGGTGAGAAGGTGACAACAGTTGGTGCAATCATTCACAAATGGAAGAAACACAAAACAAGTGTCAGTCTCCCTAGGTCTGGTGCACCATGCAAGATCTCACCTCGTGGGGTGTCAATGATCATGAGAACAGTGAGGAATCACCCCAGAACTACATGTGAGGATCTTGTCAATGATCTCCAGGCAGCTGGGACCACAGTCACCAAGAAAACAATTGGTAACACACTACGCCGACAAGGACTGAAATCCTGCAGTGCCCGCAAGGTCAAGGTATTGGGGAGAGAAGACAATGTATCGGGAAGAGAAGACAATGTATCGGGGAGAGAAGACAATGTATCGGGGAGAGAAGACAATGTGTCGGGGAGAGAAGACAATGTGTCGGGAGAGAAGACAATGTATCGGGGTGAGAAGACAATGTATCGGGTGAGAAGACAATGTATCGGGGTGAGAAGACAATGTATCGGGCAGAGAAGACAATGTATCGGGGAGAGAAGACAATGTATCGGGCAGAGAAGAATGTATCGGGGTGAGAAGACAATGTGTCGGGCAGAGAAGACAATGTGTCGGGCAGAGAAGACAATGTGTCGGGGGAGAGAAGACAATGTATCGGGCAGAGAAGAATGTATCGGGGTGAGAAGACAATGTATCGGGGTGAGAAGACAATGTGTCGGGAGAGAAGACAATGTGTCGGGCAGAGAAGACAATGTGTCGGGCAGAGAAGACAATGTATCGGGGAGAGAAGACAATGTATCGGGCAGAGAAGACAATGTATCGAGGAGAGAAGACAATGTATCGGGAGAGAAGACAATGTATCGGGCAGAGAAGACAATGTATCGGGAGAGAAGACAATGTGTCGGGAGAGAAGACAATGTATCGGGCAGAGAAGACAATGTATCGGGAGAGAAGACAATGTGTCGGGGAGAGAAGACAATGTATCAGGAGAGAAGACAATGTATCGGGCAGAGAAGACAATGTATCGGGAGAGAAGACAATGTGTCGGGGAGAGAAGACAATGTGTCGGGGAGAGAAGACAATGTATCGGGGAGAGAAGACAATGTATCGGGGAGAGAAGACAATGTATCGGGGAGAGAAGACAATGTATCGGAAGTGAAGACAATGTGTCGGGGAGAGAAGACAATGTATCGGGAGAGAAGACAATGTGTCGGGGAGAGAAGACAATGTATCGGAGAGAGAGAAGACAATGTGTCGGGGAGAGAGAAGACAATGTATCGGGCAGAGAAGACAATGTATCGGGGAGAGAAGACAATGTATCGGGCAGAGAAGACAATGTATCGGGAGAGAAGACAATGTATCGGGCAGAGAAGACAATGTATCGGGAGAGAAGACAATGTGTCGGGGAGAGAAGACAATGTATCGGGCAGAGAAGACAATGTATCGGGAGAGAAGACAATGTATCGGGGAGAGAAGACAATGTATCGGGGAGAGAAGACAATGTATCGGGAGAGAAGACAATGTATCGGGAGAGAAGACAATGTATCGGGCAGAGAAGACAATGTATCGGGAGAGAAGACAATGTGTCGGGAGAGAAGAAAGACAATGCGTCGGGCAGAGAAGACAATGTATCGGGAGAGAAGACAATGTATCGGGGAGAGAAGACAATGTGTCGGGGAGAGAAGACAATGTATCGGGCAGAGAAGACAATGTATCGGGCAGAGAAGACAATGTATCGGGGAGAGAAGACAATGTATCGGGAGAGAAGACAATGTATCGGGCAGAGAAGACAATGTATCGGGCAGAGAAGACAATGTATCGGGAGAGAAGACAATGTATCGGGAGAGAAGACAATGTATGCAGAACCATTACAGAGCAGGTAGGTACGACACGTTTGTAATATTTTAGAACAACACAAGACTTGAGTATAATTAATCAGAAAGCCGCATTCTCAGTTAGTAAATCAGCTGCTGAAAAAGCTGAAAGTGTAATATCACAACGGCAGTAAAGAAAGTCACCGATCTGGCTCTGCTGTGTGGTAGAGCTGTACATATCTCAGGATTGGATGGACAGCAATGCAGGTAAAAACTTCCATACAAGTTTTTAAATTGAACATTTTGTTGTCTGTCAGGAATTCAGATTTCATTGATTTTAATGGTTTTTTAGCAATTGCATCCAAATATCAATAAAAAAAAACAAATAAAAATAACCCCCCCGAGGCATTGATGGAGGCCAGTGAGCACGCAGACCCCCCCCACAAATGCTTCCGCGTCTCCCAGGTCAGCGTCAGCGCAGAGTCCCGGCTGTTCAAGGCTCCTTCCTCAATAGACAAAAAGTTGCTGCTGAAGTGGAAACCCCCTTTAACCCCCTTCATGCCGACGTCACACAAATACGCGGCCTCACAGAACGGGGCTTTTTTCCAGGGGGGGTCGCATATTTGCATACCTGTCTTTCTGATGGGAGCGCCCTGCACAGCGCACTCCCAGAACTAACACCGCGGTGCCACTGAGACCCCCGGGCCTGTTTTAAAAAAAACGATCGGGACTCCCAATTGCAGGTCACATGATCGCTGTGATAGCCTCTGATTGGCTCTGATTGATCAGTCACTGTACAGCCCTCCCCCCTTGTTTTTTTTTTCTCTATTAAAAAATAAAGAAAAAAATACCTAGGTGAAGGTTTCATCAAATTCAGTGCCAGGGTAAGTGTTTGGGTCAAGGTCAGGGTCAAGGTCAGGGTCAGGGTCAAAGGTCAGGATTTAAAAAAAAAAATTGGTGTCAGTGTGTTTTAGGTAAAAAAAAAAAAAAGACAAAATGCGCACTCAAGGGCGGACTGACCATTTGGAAACTTGGGCTCTGCGCAAGGGCCCGGGGTCAGTAGAGGGCCCCATGAGATGGCTCTGGTACCTTTTTCATAGGCTTTTTTTTGAGTTTGGGCAAGGACACAGGGGCCCCATGATCCCCTATTGCCCGGGGGCCCCATGAGTTGTCAGTCCGCCCCGATCACACTATTGTTTCTGGGCTGTACTCCGGGTACAAATAACATATATGGTGTCGCTGTGATGTGTGTATGTTATATGTGAGCTGGAGAATGTATTTTGGGTTGTCCTTAAGTGAAATCACTCACAAACACATGCAGACTCCACCTCCGCAATATCGCCAAAATACGCTCCTTCCTTACCCCAGACACCGCTAAACTACTTGTACACTCCCTCATCATCTCACGCCTTGACTACTGCAACTCCCTCCTCACCGGCCTACCCCAGTGCAGGCTCTCCCCGCTTCAGACCATCCTCAACTCAGCGGCCAGACTCATCCACCTCACCACCCGCTCCACCTCTGCCACCCCCCCTCTGCCTCTCCCTCCACTGGCTCCACCCCCCTCTGCCTCTCCCTCCACTGGCTCCACCCCCCTCTGCCTCTCCCTCCACTGGCTCCACCCCCCCTCTGCCTCTCCCTCCACTGGCTCCACCCCCCTCTGCCTCTCCCTCCACTGGCTCCACCCCCCTCTGCCTCTCCCTCCACTGGCTCCCTATCGCCCAACGCATCAAATTCAAACTACTCACTCTGACCTACAAAGCCATTCACAACACTGCCCCTAACTACCTCACCAACCTGATTCCCAAGTACCACCCAACCCGTACCCTTCGCTCTTCACAGGACCTCCTTCTATCTTGCTCCCTGGTCTCCTCCTCACACGCACGTCTGCAAGACTTCTCCAGGTCCTCCCCCATCCTCTGGAACTCACTACCCCAATCCATCAGACTGTCACCTTCCCTCCTCACCTTCAGGCGCTCCCTGAAAACCCACCTCTTCAGGGAAGCCTACCCCACCCTCACCTAACTGCTGCTCTCCTTCATTCCTCCTACCACTCCATCCCCCACAGCCACTTCCTCCTGTACCTCTACCCCCTCCCTCCTAGATTGTAAGCTCGAAAGAGTAGGGCCCTCTAACCCCTCGTGTGCTGTTGTTGTTGCTGTAATGTTTCATGTATTGTCCCCCCTCTATTGTACAGCGCTGAGCAAACCCTTTGGCGCTATATAAACTCCATGTAATGTAATGTCCTTTGGTGGTCAGTTATGGTCGTAACAAGAAACACAACTTTAAAATAAGGTTTTTTTTTGCTATTTTGGGCCAGTTTTCCTTTGATAATAAAAAATAATCAGGAGAAATCCATTACCGTTTACCACCAAATAAAAGCCCAATTTGTCCTGAAAAACACGCGGCATAATCCCCCCGGATGTACAAAGTAGTTGTGATGATACGGACGGTTTTACTAACACAGGTCAACGTTGCAAAATTGTGCTTAGGCATTAACATTTGTTTTACCCTCAGGTGTGAAGGGGTTAAATTTGCTTCACTTTGACTCTTTCATGCAAAAAAAAAAAAGATAATTGAATCCACCCCCCAAAAAACGACAACGGCTACAAATAATATGCTTATATTTTATATAAAAATGTCTTTCAAAGTAAAGTTCTAAAGGCATTTGAGATCTATACACAAAAGCACCAAAAAGATACTGAAATAACAAAAAAAAAAAAATTCAGTGCAAAATGTTTAAAAAAATAATTGTACTCCTATGAAACACTGCGTGATCTCCGCTCAGAGACACAGAACAATTGCAGTCGGTATAACTGAACAGAAACGGGAGAAGCCAACTTGGAAAAATGAAAAGACTTAACAATTGGAAAAAAAAAAACAAAAAACAAAAAAACTTGACATTTTAAAATCATTTGTGATGCATTTTTCAAAAGGCAGTCGATTTAATTGTAGACTTGGATAATTCATGTACAGGACAGACGGATAATCCACAATGCTTGTCGGAGGTTTCAGAGCTCACAGCTAATAATATCAATAATGAGAATTCTTCTATAGACTGGACAGCAGCTCGCTAAAATGTGCTTCTTGGATGCCGATCACAGACGATCGGCGCGATTAGTTAACAGCCATTCTCTAGAGTCCAAAAACATGCCTAAGGCACCGGAATTCCAAAAGAAACCAAATGAAAGTAATCAGAGTGTCATCTTCATCCCTGAATGAGTTTATACACCGTCTGTTGAACGTGGAGAACGCGTCCACCATGATGAACCCACAACAAACGCAAGAGGATGGCAATAGGATACTACTGAAATGGCCGGTCACTGCTGCTTGCACCCTTCCTTCTTGTCTTTGGGTTTATTGCGCCCCACTTTCTCCGAGGGTCTCTTGGTCGGTGGTATAAAGATCGGCTCGGCGCCATCGTCCATAAAGTCGTACAATCCATCTACCGGGACGGGTTGGGTCTGTGCCGAAACGGGAAATTCTGTAGATACAAAGTAGAAAGTTTTCTCATCGAAGGGAAATGTTACAACAGAAGATGCACAAAACGTTCATTTGGAAGAAAAATCTGCTGGTGTGTGCAGAGAGATGAAGAAGAGAAGGATGGGGGGGGGGGGGCATCTTATTACAGGAAGGAGCACCAATCAATATCAAATCCTCAATCATGGAAGAAACAGACATTGGACTGGTAGCCAGGGAATACATAGGAAGACTGATCCAGGGAATACATAGGAAGACTGATCCAGGGAATACATTGGAAAACTCATCCAGGGAATACATAGGAAAACTCATCCAGGGAATACATTGGAAAACTCATCCAGGGAATACATAGGAAAACTGATCCAGGGAATACATAGGAAAACTGATCCAGGGAATACATAGGAAAACTGATCCAGGGAATACATAGGAAGACTGATCCAGGGAATACATAGGAAGACTGATCCAGGGAATACATAGGAAGACTGATCCAGGGAATACACAGGAAGACTGATCCAGGGAATACACAGGAAAACTGATCCAGGGAATACATAGGAAGACTGATCCAGGGAATACATAGGAAAACTGATCCAGGGACTACATAGGAAGACTGATCCAGGGACTACATAGGAAGACTGATCCAAGGACTACATAGGAAGACTGATCCAGGGACTACATAGGAAGACTGATCCAGGGACTACATAGGAAGACTGATCCAGGGAATACATAGGAAAACTGATCCAGGGACTACATAGGAAGACTGATCCAGGGACTACATAGGAAGACTGATCCAGGGACTACATAGGAAGACTGATCCAGGGAATACATAGGAAGACTGATCCAGGGAATACATAGGAAGACTGATCCAGGACTACATAGGAAGACTGATCCAGGGACTACATAGGAAGACTGATCCAGGGAATACATAGGAAAACTGATCCAGGGAATACATAGGAAGACTGATCCAGGGAATACATAGGAAAACTGATCCAGGGAATACATAGGAAGACTGATCCAGGGAATACATAGGAAGACTGATCCAGGGAATACATAGGAAGACTGATCCAGGGAATACATAGGAAGACTGATCCAGGGAATACATAGGAAGACTGATCCAGGGAATACATAGGAAGACTGATCCAAGGAATACATAGGAAAACTGATCCAGGGAATACATAGGAAAACTGATCCAAGGAATACATAGGAAAACTGATCCAGGGAATACATAGGAAGACTGATCCAGGGAATACATAGGAAGACTGATCCAGGGACTACATAGGAAGACTGATCCAGGGAATACATAGGAAAACTGATCCAGGGAATACATTGGAAAACTCATCCAGGGAATACATAGGAAAACTCATCCAGGGAATACATAGGAAAACTCATCCAGGGAATACATAGGAAAACTGATCCAGGGAATACATAGGAAAACTGATCCAGGGAATACATAGGAAAACTGATCCAGGGAATACATAGGAAAACTCATCCAGGGAATACATAGGAAAACTCATCCAGGGAATACATAGGAAAACTGATCCAGGGACTACATAGGAAAACTGATCCAGGGAATACATAGGAAAACTGATCCAGGGAATACATAGGAAAACTCATCCAGGGAATACATAGGAAAAAACTCATCCAGGGAATACATAGGAAAACTCATCCAGGGAATACATAGGAAAACTGATTGAGGGAATACATAGGAAAAACTGATCCAGGGAATACATAGGAAAACTGATCCAGGGAATACATAGGAAAACAGATTGAGGGACTACATAGGAAGACTGATCCAGGGAATACATAGGAAACCTGATCCAGGGAATACATAGGAAACCTGATCCAGGGAATACATAGGAAACCTGATCCAGGGAATAGCCGACTGGAAATATAGACTCCAGGGGTGGACTGGCAACTCATGGGGCCCCTGGGCAATAGGGAATCATGGGGCCTCTGTGTCCTCGCTCACACTCAAACCACACCCAAAAAAAAGCCTATGAAAAGGTACCAGGGGCATTTCATGGGGCCCCCTACTGACCCTGGGCCCTCAGGCAGTGCCCGAGTACCCGAATGGTCAGTCCGCCCCTGATAGGCTCCCTCAAGAGTTGGTTCTGACCAGCTCCTTGGATTGCTGGTCGGATTCAGGTGATCATGAGGAGCAGGGGCCAAAGGGCCTTCTGGCTGTATGGACCTGAGTATACCCTGCCCCTGTCAGGAGTCATACACCCTGGGGGGGTCAGACAATTGTCCTTTCTCCTTTGGATGGGACCAAAAGACACACCCTAGTGCACCCAAACATGGAAAGGTTTCTTTACAGTGAGAGCTGTGAGAATGTGGAATAGATTCCCTCCAGAGTTGGTTGTGGCCAGCTCAGTGGATTGCTGGAGGAAAGTCCTGGATTCTTTCTTGGATACACAGAATATAACTGGATATAACATTTATAGGGAAAGGTGATCCCGGGAATATCCGATTGCCTCTCGGGGGATCAGGAAGGAATGTTTCCCCTGCAGGAGGAGATTGGATCGTGCTTTGCTGGGTTTTTGCCTTCCTCTGGATCCACTGCGGGTGTAGGATTATAAGTTTTTTTATGGTTCAACTGGATGGACTTTTGTCTTTTTTTTTCAGCCAAACTAACTATGTAACTATGAAATATAGAGCTTGGCAGATCTGAGATGGATAGGCAGACATACAATATGGGCTAAATACTGATGAGAGATAAAATGCAGATATCAAGACACAGAATAAAAAGACGTGATAGATTAGATTACAATATGAAGAGAAGACGGACAGACATTGATGACAGGAGTAGAATGGAGCAAAGTGGAGTAGAGGTTGGTTGAGTAAAGTAGAGCAGAGTGCAGTAGAATGGAGCCAAGAAGAGCGGCACAAAGTAGATTCGATCACAGTGGAGTAATGTGGAGCCAAGAAGATTCGATCACAGTGGAGTAATGTGGAGCCAAGAAGATTCGATTACAGTGGAGTAATGTGGAGCCAAGAAGATTCGATCACAGTGGAGTAATGTGGAGCCAATTAGATTCGATCACAGTGGAGTAATGTGGAGCCAAATAGATTCCATTACAGTGGAGTAATGTGGAGCCAATTAGATTCGATCACAGTGGAGTAATGTGGAGCCAAGAAGATTCGATCACAGTGGAGTAATGTGGAGCCAATTAGATTCGATCACAGTGGAGTAATGTGGAGCCAAGAAGATTCGATCACAGTGGAGTAATGTGGAGCCAAGAAGATTCGATCACAGTGGAGTAATGTGGAGCGGGGAGTTGCAGGGAGGGAAGTACAGCAAGGCAGTGACCTACAGTAATGTAATGGGGAGTGGAGTACAGGAGGGTAGCAGGGATTCGAGTACTGTAGTTCGGAATGGTATGCAGTAAGGTGGAGGGGGGGGGGGGGAGTAGAGTGGAGAGGAGAACAGTAGGGTACAGGAGGGGAGCGGAGCATGGTCGGGTAGTGGGGGTTTGAGTACAGTAGAGAGTAACATATATTTAAGTACAATTTGGTAGTGTGGAGTACATATGGGTGGTGGGGGAGCACTGCTGGGACAAGGTCATTTAGCACCCAGGGCAAAGATGTCAAAGGGCCCCCCCCCCCCCCAAAAAAAGGTACGGGAATTAAGTGTCAGCAAAAAATCACCTCACCCCAAAAAAATAATCTTCACACTTACTCCATAAGCATAAATTCCTTTGCAAGCCAAAATTCTCCCCCCAAACAAAAATACCCCCTCTTCCAGTACAAATCCCCCCTCCCAGCTCAAATCCTCTCCCTCCCAGCTCAAATCCTATACTTCTCCTCTGAGCATAAATCCTCCTCCCCCTATTCCAGCACAAATCCCCTCTGCCAGCACTAACCCCTCCAAAATTTCCCCCTCCTAGCACAAATCTCCCCCCCCCCCCAATCCCCCTTTCTAACAGAAATACACACTCCTAGTATGACTCCCCCCCCCCCCCCCTTCAAATCACCACTTCTAGTAAAACCTCCTAAATCCCCACTACGTTCAGGGCAGCCGTCCCTCCTGCCCACCCCTTGTCCCGGGCCTGATTTGTAGTAGTGTGGAGAGAGGACAGTAAGGTGGTGAGGAGCGAATTACAGGGGGTGGGGAGTACAGTAGGGCAGATGGGAGTAGAGTAAGGTAGAGTAGTGTGGAGTGGAGTCCAGTGAGGTGGTGGGGAGTGGAGTCCAGTGAGGGGGGGGGAGGGGAGTCCAGTGAGGAGGTGGGGAGTGGAGTCCAGTGAGGGGGTGGGGAGTGGAGTCCAGTGAGGGGGTGGGGAGTGGAGTCCAGTGAGGTGGTGGGGAGGGGAGTCCAGTGAGGTGGTGGGGAGGGGAGTCCAGTGAGGTGGTGGGGAGGGGAGGGAGTCCAGTGAGGTGGTGGGGAGGGGAGTCCAGTGAGGTGGTGGGGAGGGGAGTCCAGGGAGGTGGTGGGGAGGGAGTCCAGGGAGGTGGTGGGGAGGGGAGTCCAGGGAGGTGGTGGGGAGGGGAGTCCAGGGAGGTGGTGGGAAGTGGAGTCCAGTGAGGTGGTGGGGAGTGGAGTCCAGTGAGGTGGTGGGGAGTGGAGTATAGTGAGGTGGTGGGGAGTGGAGTATAGTGAGGGGGTGGGGAGTGAAGTACAGTGAGGGGGTGGGGAGTGAAGTACAGTGAGGGGGTGGGGAGTGTGAAGTACAGTGAGGGGGTGGGGAGTGAAGTACGGTGAGGTGGTGGGGAGTGAAGTACGGTGAGGTGGTGGGGTGGAGGGGGTCCGGGAGGTGGTGGGGAGGGGGGGGGGGGAGGGTGTGGTGGTGGGGAGGGGAGTCCAGTGAGGTGGTGCGGATGGGAGTCCAGTGAGGTGGTGGGGAGGGGGGAGTCCAGTGAGGTGGTGGGAGTGGAGTACAGTGTGAGGTGGAGGGAGTGGAGTACAGTGAGGTGGTGGGGAGTGGAGTACAGTGAGGTGGTGGGGAGTGGAGTACAGTGAGGTGGGGGGGGGGGGGGGGGGTTTGGAGTACAGTGAGGTGGGGGGGGAGTGGAGTACAGTGAGGTGGGGGGGGAGTGGAGTACAGTGAGGTGGGGGGGGGAAGTGGAGTACAGTGAGGTGGGGGGGGAAGTGGAGTACAGTGAGGTGGGGGGGGGGGAAGTGGAGTACAGTGAGGTGGGGGGGGGGGAGTACAGAAGTGGAGTACAGTGAGGTGGGGGGGGGGAAGTGGAGTACAGTGAGGTGGGGGGGGAAGTGGAGTACAGTGAGGTGGGGGGGGAAGTGGAGTACAGTGAGGTGGGGGGGGAAGTGGAGTACAGTGAGGTGGGGGGGGAAGTGGAGTACAGTGAGGTGGGGGGGGTAGTGGAGTACAGTGAGGTGGGGGGGAAGTGGAGTACAGTGAGGTGGGGGGGAAGTGGAGTACAGTGAGGTGGGGGGGGGGAGTGGAGTACAGTGAGGTGGGGGGGGAGTGGAGTACAGTGAGGTGGGGGGGGAGTGGAGTACAGTGGAGGTGGGGGGGAGTGGAGTCCAGTGAGGTGGTGGGGAGTGGAGTCCAGTGAGGTGGTGGGGAGTGGAGTCCAGTGAAGGGGCGGGTGTGGAGTCCAGTGAGGGGGGGGGGGAGTGGAGTGTCCAGTGAGGGGGCAGGGGAGTGGAGTACAGTGAGGTGGCGGGGAGTGGAGTCCAGTGAGGTGGCGGGAGAGTGGAGTCCAGTGAGGTGTGGTGGGGAGTGGAGTCCAGTGAGGTGGTGGGGAGTGGAGTCCAGTGAGGTGGTGGGGAGTGGAGTCCAGTGAGGTGGTGGGGAGTGGAGTCCAGTGAGGTGGTGGGGAGTGGAGTCCAGTGAGGTGGTGGGGAGTGGAGTCCAGTGAGTGAGGTGGGGGAGTGGAGTCCAGTGAGGTGGTGGGGAGTGGAGTACAGATGAGGTGGGTGGGGAGTGGAGTACAGTGAGGGTGGGGTGGGAGAGGAGTGGAGTACAGTGAGGTGGTGGGGAGTGGAGTCTAGTGAGGTGGTGGGGAGTGGAGTACAGTAGAATGGGTCCCAGGGAATGGAGCACTGTAGGGTAGAGAGGAGTGGGGTATAACGGGGTAGTGGTGGAGTAACAGTGAGGAGGGTGGGGGCAGTGGAGTACAGTGAGGTGGTGGGGAATGGAGTCCAGTGAGGTGGTGGGGGAGTGGAGTCCAGTGAGGGGGTGGGGGATAGTGGAGTCCAGTGAGGTGGTGGGGAGTGGGAGTCCAGTGAGGAGGGTGGGGGGGGATAGTGGGGGTCCAGTGAGGTGGATTCCAGTGAGAGTGGTGGGGAGTGGAGTCCAGTGAGGAGGGTGGGGGGAGTAGTGTGGAGTCCAGTGAGGTGGGGGGGAGTGGAGTCCAGTGAGGAGGGTGGGGATAGTGGAGTCCAGTGAGGTGGTGGGGAGTGGAGTCCAGTGAGGTGGTGGGGAGTGGAGTCCAGTGAGGGGTGGGGAGTGGAGTCCAGTGAGGGTGGGGGGAGTGGAGTCCAGTGAGGGTGGGTGGGAGGGTGTGGGGGGCGGGAGTCCAGTGAGGGGGCGGGGAGTGGAGTCCAGTGAGGAGGGTGGGGGGGATAGTGGAGTCCAGTGAGGGGGGGAGTGGAGTCGGGGAGTGGAGTAGATGAGTGAGGTGGGGGCGGGGAGTGGAGTCCCAGTGAGGTGGTGGGTGGTCCAGTGGGAGTGGAGTCCAGTGAGGGGGCCGGGAGTGGAGTCCAGTGAGGTGGTGGGGGAGTGGAGTCCAGTGAGGGGTGGGGGTGGAGTACAGTGAGGGTGGAGTCCAGTGAGGAGGGGGGGGGAGTGGAGTCTAGTGAGGGGGGGCGGGGAGTGGGAGTCCAGTGAGGAGGGGGGGGGATAGTGAGTCCAGTGAGGGGGCGGGGAGTGGAGTCCAGTGAGGGGGCGGGGAGTGGAGTCCAGTGAGGTGGGTGGGGAGTGGAGTCCAGTGAGGGGGCGGGGCAGTGGAGTCCAGTGAGGGGGCGGGGAGTGGAGTCCAGTGAGGGGGCGGGGGAGTGGAGTCCAGTGAGGGGGCGGGGAGGGAGTCCAGTGAGTGGGGGATAGTCCAGTGAGGGGGGCGGGGGAGTGGAGTCCAGTGAGGGGGCGGGGAGTGGAGTCCAGTGAGGGGGCGGGAGTGGAGTCCAGTGAGTGGGAGGGGTGGGGAGTGGAGTCCAGTGGGGGGCGGGGAGTGGAGTCCAGTGAGGGGGCGGGGAGTGGAGTCCAGTGAGGGGGCGGGGAGTGGAGTCCAGTGAGGGGGCGGGGAGTGGAGTCCAGTGAGGGGGCGGGGGGAGTGGAGTCCAGTGAGGGGGCGGGGGCGTGGAGTGTGAGAGTCCAGTGAGGGGGCGGGGGAGTGGATATCTCCAGTGAGGGGGATGTGGAGTCCAGTGAGGGGGCGAGGGAGGAGTGGAGTCCAGTGAGGGGGCGGGGTGGAGTCCAGTGAGGGGTCCAGTGGAGTTCCAGTGAGTGAGGGGGCGGGGAGTGGAGTCCAGTGAGGGGGCGGGGAGTACAATACAATAGTGTGGAATAGTCATGAAAGATGGACATATATAAGTCCAGACGGGTGAGATACAGCAGAAGAGACCCCCATCCCATACATATGAAATGGATATGGGGGTGGAGGGGGCCGATATACGGGCAGACTCATCGGTGGGTAGATATCTGGATGCATGACCATTATTTGGACTCAATGAATAGTTGAAGTCTAGTAGTGAATGGGCTCCAAGTGTCCCTGTGAAATCGGGGACATTGTACATAACAGGGATACAGAGTTTGTATTGGGGGGGGGGCAGTCTGAAGGTAATCATCTCAGGATTATGAACGGCTTTATGGAATATTCCGGAGGCCTGGTCTTGGGACAGTTGTCCATAGCAGGAGAGGGGCATGCTGGGTACATGTACATGGGCCCTACACATGAACACCATGAGCAATGTGACTTTGTGCACCTTGGGAGCAGAAGTGAATTCCTCGGGCTGGGCGTCCTTCTTGGATTTGAACGTTGGGTCGAGTTCCTCTGCGATGTTCCTTGGAGAATGCAGCCTGTAGGAGATTGAATATATGAATGAACGATCCCACCCAACATTCCAACCCTTCATCATGGGGCCAGACGAAGGTTCCACAAGTCGGGGGCCGGCAGCCATGTCCATGTTGGATCTGATAAGAAGACATGACGGCCCTCATACATTAAAGTCCAACTCCCAGCCAAAACTTGGTTCCCTGCTGGGAATCTCTCCTGACTTCCTGCCTCGGGGGACACCCCGTCCCCTCACTTTTCCTGTCCTGGTGTCACAGTGAGCTATAAAAAACCCAACAAGAGTTAAAACTTCCGGTTGAACTCGAAGGGTTAAAGGCAAATTTTTGTCTACATTTTGACTTTCCTTGTTCTTTGTCCCGACAGGCTCACCCCTCCCCCACTCCAGCGGCTGCACTTTGATGTCACTGCCTACAATGCAGGACCGGCAGCGGAGTCCACACCGAGGGGCCGCCCACATCCCGGGTATCGGCAGCCAGCGGGAAAAGAGATACGGTCCGTAAAATGAACGATTCCCTAGACAAAACGAGGGGGGGGGGTGTCGAAGGGGGGGGGGGGGGGAGCCCCACCACAAGGGAAGTTTTTACATTTCCCGGGAGAGCAGCTTTAAATTGATTTTAAAGAACATAATCACACAATTGGCCCCAGAAAACGAATGGCCCAGAAATGGCCGTCTTCATTTCCAGAAAAGAAAGGAACTCTCCAGAATCTGATGACTTCACACAGATTGTGATTCACTGAAGCCGGCAGGCCCCGCCCTTAGGACCGCCTCTAAATGCATTTCCCCGGAAGGGGTCCCCCTGTCGGTCATCACCAAGTGACGCAGAGTTCAGTACTGACGTGTATTCCAGATACTACGGAGCTCATTCATGACTTCACCGCTTTCATAGGATATTATTTTGTATCCATTCAAGCCCTGATGAATGGGGAGCTCCGCCCCCTGAAACGCGTTGGATAAAAACATACAGAACCGGCGTGGTGAGCCTTCGTTTGGACTAAATAGGTTGTGACTTCCAGCATCCTGGTTCTGTCTTTATTTCAGGTACTTATATATCGCCGTCAATGTACTCCGCGCTTTACATATATATTGTACATTCACATCAGTCCCCGCCCCCGAGGAGCGTACAATCTAAGGTCCCTAACTCACATTCATACATACACAGACTAGGGACAATTTAGACAGGAACCAAGTAACCTACCAGCATGTTTTTGGTGTGTGGGAGGAAAGCAGAGTACACGGAGGAAACCCACGCAGGCACAGGGAGAGCATGCAGACTCCAGGCAGGTGGTGCCATGGTTGGGATTCGAACCGACGACCCCGAGTACTGCCAATTGACATTGGCTCCCGCTGCTGTCAATCACAGCCAGTGAGCCAATCAGGAGAGAGAGGGGGCATGGCCGCTCTGTGGCTGTGTGTGTGAATGGACACGCAGCGCTGTTGCTCGGGAGTACGCCGGCTCAGTTTCCCGTCATAGCCAGCAGCTTGCAATGGGGGCACCCAACAGGCGGGAGAGGCCAGTAACGCAGGTGGGGGACCGGACTGCTCTGTGTAAAAGCATTACAGGGCGGGTAAGTATAGTATGTATAGGAAGTATATATGTTTGTCATTAAAAAAAGAAAAAAAAATCCCAAAAAAACAAAAAACAAAGACTTTAGTATCACTTTAAGGCTTGCCATGTTTGGTATCTATTGACTTGACGCAGCTTAAAGTCGTTCTAAAGGCTCAAGGCTTTTCACCTTCATGCATTACCCCCCCCCCCAATACTCACCTAAGCCCCCTCATGATTCAGCGATGTGCACTGGGGTCTCGGCTATCCCAGGACTCCCTCTCCTCATTGGCTGGGACCGAAATTGGAGCCATTGACTCCCACTGCTGTCAATCACAGCCAGTGAGCCAATGAGAAGAGAGAGGGGCGGGGATGAGGCACAGCTCTGTGTGTGAATGGACACATGGAACAGCAGGTGCCCCCATAGCAAGCTGCTTGCTGTGGGGTCACCTGACAGGAGGAAGGGGCCAGGAGCGCCGGCGGGGGACCTGAGAAGAGGACGATCAAAACCACTACACAGAGCAGGTAAGAAATGTCATCTCCAAACATGGAAAGGTTTCTTCACAGTAAGAGCTGAGAATGTGGAATAGACTCCCTCCAGAGTTGGGTGTGGCCAGCTCAGTGGATTGCTGGAGGAAAGTCCTGGATCCTTTCTTGGATACACAGAATATAACTGGATAGAACATTTATAGGGAAAGGTGATCCCGGGAATATCCGATTGCCTCTCGGGGGGTCAGGAAGGAATGTTTCCCCTGCAGGAGGAGATTGGATCGTGCTTTGCTGGGATTCTGCCTTCCTCTGGATCAACTGTGGGTGGAGGATTATAACTTGTTTTATGGTTGAACTGGATGGACTGTTGTCTTTTTTCATCCAGACTAACTATATAACTATGTAACTATGTAACTATGTAACTATATAACTATATAACTATGTAACTATGTAACTATATAACTATGTAACTATATAACTATATAACTATGTAACTATGTAACTATGTAACTATGTAACTATATAACTATGTAACTATGTAACTATGTAACTATGTAACTATGTAACTATGTAACTATGTAACTATGTAACTATGTAACTATATAACTATGTAACTATGTAACTATGTAACTATGTAACTATAACTATGTAACTATGTAACTAACTATGTAACTATGTAACTATGTAACTATAACTATGTAACTATGTAACTATGTAACTATGTAACTATAAACTATGTAACTATGTAACTATGTAACTATGTAACTATGTAACTATGTAACTATGTAAACTATGTAACTATATAACTATGTAACTATGTAACTATATAACTATGTAACTATGTAACTATATATGTAACTATATAACTATGTAACTATAACTATGTAACTATGTAACTATATGTAACTATGTAAACTATGTAACTATAACTATGTAACTATGTAACTATGTAACTATGTAACTAACTATATAACTATATACTATGTAACTATAACTATAACTATGTAACTATATAACTATAACTATGTAACTATGTAACTATGTAACTATAACTATGTAACTATGTAACTAAAACATGTAACTATATAACTATAAACTATGTAACTATGTAACTATATAACTATATAACTATAACTATGTAACTATATAATGTAACTGTAAACTATGTAACTATGTAACTATATAACTATGTAAACTATGTAACTATAACTATATAATATAACTAACTAACTATGTAACTATGTAACTATGTAACTATGTAACTATGTAACTATGTAACTATATAACTATAACTATGTAACTATATAACTATGTAACTAACTAAACTATGTAACTATGTAAAACTATGTAAACTATATAACTATATAACTAAACTAACTATGTAACTATATAACTATATAACTATGTAACTATGTAACTATATAACTATGTAACTATGTAACTATATAAACTATGTAACTATGTAACTATGTAACTATATGTAACTAACTATAACTATAAACTATGTAACTATAAACTATAACTATGTAACTAAACTATGTAACTATATAACTATAACTAACTATGTAACTATGTAACTATGTAACTATGTAACTATATGTAACTATGTAACTATGTAACTATAAACTATGTAACTATAACTATATAACTATATAACTATGTAACTATAACTAACTAACTAAACTATGTAAACTATGTAACTATGTAACTATGTAACTATGTAACTATGTAACTATGTAACTATATAAACTATAACTATGTAACTATGTAACTATGTAACTATGTAACTATGTAACTATGTAACTATGTAACTATGTAACTATGTAACTATGTAACTATGTAACTATATGTAACTATGTAACTATAACTAAACTGTAACTATATAACTATGTAACTATGTAACTATGTAACTATATAACTATATAACTATGTAACTATGTAACTATATAACTATGTAACTATATAACTATGTAACTATAACTATAACTATGTAACTAACTATGTAACTATAACTATGTAACTAACTATATAACTATGTAACTATATAACTATAACTAACTAACTATAAACTATAAACTAACTATAACTATATAACTATGTAACTATGTAACTATGTAACTAACTATGTAACTATGTAACTATGTAACTATGTAACTATATAACTATGTAACTATATAACTATATAACTAACTATGTAACTATATAACTATGTAACTATATAACTATATAACTATGTAACTATATAACTATATAACTATGTAACTATGTAACTATGTAAACTATGTATAAACTGTAACTATATAACTATAACTATGTAACTATAACTATATAACTATAACTAACTAACTATGTAACTATATATATAACTATAACTAACTATGTAACTAACTATGTAACTAAACTATATAACTATAAACTATGTAACTATGTAAACTATGTAACTATGTAACTATATAACTATGTAACTATGTAACTATATAACTATGTAACTATGTAACTATAACTATGTAACTATAACTATATAAACTATGTAACTATGTAACTATGTAACTATGTAATATATAACTATATAACTATGTAACTATATAACTAAACTAACTATATAACTATGTAACTATGTAACTATGTATACTATGTAACTATATAACTAAACTATATAACTATATGTAACTATGTAACTATATACTACTATAAACTATGTAACTATATAACTATATAACTAACTGTAACTATATAAACTATATAACTATATAATGTAACTATATAACTATGTAACTATGTAACTATGTAACTATAACTAACTATATAAACTATGTAACTATATAACTATGTAACTATATATATACTATGTAACTATATAACTATATAACTATATAACTATAACTATGTAACTATGTAACTATGTAACTATAACTATAAACTATGTAACTATGTAACTAACTATATAACTATATAACTATGTAACTATATAT